CAGAGACTTTCTTTTAAGTAAGACATTTCTAGGAACGCTTTGTCTTGAGACACGGAGCTGGGCTTTTTTTCTCTACTTCGAATACTGATGCTCTTGAAAGGAGTATTTCACTCAAAAATGCTAATTTTTGCTCAAATTAATGGAAGATAGTAGGGTATGTATGACAAAAGTATGTGGACATCTCTCAGCCACAGGTGTACTAAATCAAGCACATAGCCATGCAATCTCCATAGACAGTAGGGAGTAGAATCATGTTTAAAGTCACTGAGCTCTAGAGTATGACCCATTGTACTGCTGATGTCTATGGAGACTGCATCTCTTTGTGCTTGATTTTATGAGATTTTCTATAAGATACCTTTAAATATGCAGTACAACCATATGCAATATACACTGATACTTTACAGAAACACTTTGATGAATGACAAACCTGAACACAGTAAGTAGGAGGGGTGTCCACATACTTTTGGCCATATAGTGTATGTAAGAGTTTACAATGACTCTTTCAGTAAAGAGCTCTAGCATAGAGCTGCTGCCACTGTTTTTAATTTCTAACAACTAACTGAAACTTGGATAGACTCCCCGCTAGTACTGGCAGTCAGCAACACATCTAGGCCTTACTAGATGGCCTTCCAGAAGGCCCAAGGTGTTGTTTTTGACCATCTCTTACATGAGGGAATAAGGTAGGCATGTGTCTTATGCTGCTTGGAGTAAAACTTAACAATAAAATGAGCATTAAAACAATACCTGCACAGTTTAAATACAATGAGCAATTATCCTATTAAATAAAAATGAACTGAAATAAACAGTCTACTGCAGAAAGCACAAGGCCTTCCCATACAAATGCAATGGAGCCAGAGAGCTGCACGTTGTAAAGAGATGTGATCTTGAGCAAGACATTTTTCTCTCTTGCATTTTACTCCAAGCAGCATAGCTCACATACCTCCCTCATCCCCTCACATGAGAGATAAGCAACTAGAGAATTCACTACTGTATCTGAGCCTTTAAGCTGCATTCAGCTACAGTTAAGAACAACAAAGTAGCATCTCTAGCACAGGTTGAAGCAAGAGGTCAAGGACATGTTATCCTGCTAAACCTCACAGACAGAAGCTGGAATGCGAGGGCTAGCAGTGACCACACATGAACACTCAAAATGGTTTGTTTAAATTCGTCATGTTGTCCGGAAAAGATCTGTGATTATGCAGTCACTGGTACTTCCTGTCTGACCCATACAGGCACTCAGGGGCATATAGGACTTTACTATAGGTCATGACAAACTGAACCACATGCTTTGTGCATTTGTACTACCATGCCAGTGTGCTTCATTGTAATCAAATGCCTCGCCTATAATGAGGAATATATCCGTTGGGTGGGGTTGCCATACTCTCCTTTGTAAAGGCCTCCCTTATGTTATGTTGCTATGCCAGCCATTGCTGAACCCATCTGAACTAGAGAGTATTATTCCCAGTGAGGCATGGAATGTTACACACTGAAGGAGGGGGGTCACGATTTTCTACAAGACATATGTAACTATGCAATACATTGAAAGGAATAAAAGAATAAATTAATATTTTACAGAAATATTCCAGTGTTGGCCATAACAGCCTCCACTCTTCTGGGAAGCTTTTGATACAAGATTTTGTAGTGTGTCTGTGGGAATTTGTGCCGACTCAGTTAAAAGAGCATTTGTGAGGTCAGGCACTGATGTTGGACGAGAGGCCCTGGCTGGTTGGAAGTATGTAATTGTCTTAAATGTCTTCGTATGATGTAGCATTAACATTTTCCTTCACTGGAACTAAGAGGCCTAACCTAAACCTTGAAAAACTGGCCCAGATCATCATCCCTCCTCCACCAAACTTTACTGTTGGCACTATTGATTTATGTAGGTAGTGTTCTCCCGACATCTACCAAATCCAGATTCGTCCATCAGACTGCTAGATAGGAACCTGATTCATCACTCCAGAGATCACATTTTCCCCTGCTCCAGAGTCCAGTGGATGTGTGCTTTACACCACTCCAGCTGACACTTGGTATTGCGCATAGTAATCTTAGCCTTGTGTGCAGCTGCTCGGCCATGGATACCCATTTCACGAAGCTGCCGATGTGCAGTTCTTGTGCTGATGTTGCTTCCAGAGGCAGTTTGGAGTGATTGGCTGAGCCTTTGTTGCTCCTAGATGCTTCCATTTTGCAATAATAGAACTTACAGTTAATAATATTATTGTAAAATGGAATCTAGGAGCAACAAAAGTGTATCCATGAAGCAGTAGATCAGGCAGACTGAAAGAGTGGGGATGCAGAGTGCTGAAGCGCTCAAGCACATATATGTGTGTGTTGTCATTCATTTGGTTGAGCACTTATATATGTATATTTTTAAGGTTGTGCTTTATTTCACTTATTTTGCTGTCTTTACCCACTATGCAACTACAATGAGTCCCCATAATGCAAAAGGAAAAATAGACAGCATGTTAAAGTAAATGTGAGTTATTTGTGTGTTTAGCCTCAGTCTGTGTTTGAGAAAAACTGGTATTTAATAAGAGTACGGCAGGAGGTTGTGGCTTTCACATTTAACCAATTTCTGCTTTGTCATCAGGACTTGGCATTTTTTTCCGGAAAAGATTTTTGTGCTTACGCAACAACTGGTTCTTCCTGTCTGGCTCATACAGGCACCTACAGGCCTATAGGGCACACAAGTTTATATGCTTCATGCTTTGTTGCAAGCTCCAGTCACTAGGGTACAGGCCACACACTAGTGTTAAATGACCTATTTGTGTATAGTCACAGTGTTCGAGTGCTCTTGGGAAAGCTATAAAATATTTACAGGATGGCTGTTATTTCACAGGTGTGAAACATTGTAGGTGTTGTTTAGCAGCTTCCATTTCAGAGTGGACTTCATTCATGCATTCTGCACTGGCACTAATCAACAGTATATTATAAGTAGAACATTAAGATTTAGTTGTGCTACGCAGATTTACTAAGAGAAGCACTAATTACCACTTAATTAACACTTTGCACTGGTAGGTTAGTGGGTTATCAGTTAAGAACTTCCATGCAAATGAATGCAGACAAAACTTTGTAATTATCATGTGAGCAATATAACCATGTGTTTGGCTCACATGCTTTTTATATGAAAGTCTCTGTCTGCCAGGTAGGAGGAAAAAAAGCCTTTTATCTCTCTGTTTCAGGTTCAAACTGTGACTCATTAGGTTGAAATAATGACTTATTTCCTCGGAATTTTCACATAATTAAAATAATGACAGTCAAAAAGATTATTAGTCGTTGAGAAAGCATGTGATTATTTCAACATAATAAATAATTATTTTGAGAAGAGAAAATGTCAGAAAATCTGAGAAAAGAAGTGATTAGTTTGACTTTCTGTTTTGAGATGTTCATTATTGGCTGGTGGGATGAGCTGAACTTGTGTTCTGTGCTGAGTGCATTTAGCAATCATCTGATAATGTAAAATCCCTGTTCAATTTCTCAAGAGTGACCAGAGATTTTCAGCACTATAATCAGTGTAAAGCATTTTAATCTCCCTGCTTTATCAAAGATGGACGACATCATGAGGAGGAAACATCATCAAGAACGATTTAAAAGGTTGAAATCTATAAGCCAGTGGCTGAACCATCATCTTTTAATAATAATGCACTGTAGAGTCCCATGGCTTCAGTTTTCATACATACAGACCTTTGGCTCTTGGGCACAGGAGAACAAATTTGGACACAGTTCTTTCCTTAAAGTCATTTTATATAAAAACTAGATTAAAAATGCAAGTAGGTGGAATTCAGTATAAGCGAGTAACTTCATAATACAATCGTATTCATACAATGGTTCATAGTTGTGTCATGTTTAATGATATTTTTCAGGGATTTGTCTTGAAATAAACTCATCCATGTTTAATTTCACAGAGCTCGTCCTGGAAAATGCATCTTAAACATCTAACAAACTACAGATTGGCAGGGAAAGAAAAAGACAAAAGGACAGAAAAAAAGTCTACATGGTTGTTTTCACTCCTATGTATTAGGAATATACTTACATTAATCAGTTCCTGATACTAGTTTAGCTTCAGTTGCCTCCTGGTAGTTACTGTATAGTCTATACTGTATAGTGTTTACATAATCTATTAACTGTTACATATTTTACAGCATATTAGAACGTGAGTTCAAAAATATTTTTTTATCAATTTGAAAGTTACATCAGTATACTAAACTAACAGCAACGTGGTTCGTGATTCTACATTTACAGTCAATTCAGGCTGCGATACCTTTTAAGCAGTAAGTAATGACTAAATGCACAGACATACACGTTGTATAAGTGTGTGTGTGTGTGTGCGTGTGCGTGTCAGAAAAAAAACCTCGTAGCTCCACAATGGTAACTTTACAGGAGAAGGAAAAAACTTACTTTACTTTCAATGTAAGTCAATGGAACCAGACTTTTTTCAAAGTAATTTTGGGTCATTTCTTTTAGTCCATTCATCATGAAATTTACACACAATATAAAGGTCAACATGCATTTTCAAATTATGTCAAAAACTAAACAATGACAAAAAAGGAGATACAAGGTTTTGTTCCGACAACAGCGACACAAACCTATAGGTTTCCTTGTGTATGTGTAGCTGATCAGCACACTGATGATTAAAAAGACACATCGATCCTGCATAGATTGGGATTAAAAGCTTTCCGATATGCTTCTCAACACTATAACCCATATATTCATATATCCATATATTCATTCATCCAATCCAACATTTGAACTCGAATCATTTCTAGAGTAAAGCAAAAATTAATGACTAAACAGAACATTTGCTGACAGACATGACATAAAGAATTTTCATTTGTCAGTTACACACAGTACAGAGAAAATCCCTGCTTTATCTTATTTGGTTGAAAACAGTGGTATACTATTGTTTTTATGCACCTATATCCATCCATCCTGTATGTAAAATAACTCTATGCTGCCACACAAGATGGCAGCTGTATGTAACAGGACAACGCACAACATTACAAATAAATCATTATATAAATTATTATAAATAGATATATAAGCAGACAAGCCAAACCCATGTTTTAGATTCTGTACCTACCACACAGAATCATTCACTGTAACGTATATGAATGAAATCAGGCCTCACTTCACGTCCAGTGTATGTACAGCACAAACCTGTAAAACTGCTTCCAGGCCACAGTAGCTAGATGATGCTTCCTTGCTCTAATCGGACTCTATGTGACTCCCACTATGTGACTGACTTGCCTACAGCTCCTCATGTTAGTGACACAGACACTGTGCAGCAGTGTGTTCTGTATCAGCTTCAGGTGGGGATGCACGATCATTTCAGCATAAGCAGATAATTATAAAATAAATATTATCGGCTTTGGGCAGATATTTAGATGTAACACATGTTAAAAGGAGATTTGATGCTGTATGAACTCCAGGAGAGCAGAACTTTTAGGTGATGCTGAATTGCTGTGCTAAATTATCTGCAATTGATTGCTTTGACTGCATTTGTAACCCTACAGAAGTAAATGTTAATGTTTATGTATGACATTGACACATAGCAACATGAAATGATGATATCGGTTCATCCCTAGGTTTCAGTGTTATGATTACTCAATTCAAAAATGATTCAAATTCTACTTCTTGATGACTCAGCCATGATTAGTTGGCAGTCGTATGATGACAATGCATTTTTTTCAACTCTCCTACAGTCCTCCCTTCCAAGAAGAAACAGAGCCTAATGAACGCACACTTTTACATTTTAAAGCCGTTGTTTATATTTTAGCAGTAAAATATTTTGGAATCTTTGAAAGTTCATGAATCTTTTTTTTCTAGTTCAGTAAATTTTTATTGTTCAGCCTCTTTTGAAAAATTGAATTACTCAAATTACTCAAAATAATCAGCAGATTTGTCAATTGCTAATTTAGTCTACAGTGGCAGCCCTAATCAGGTTCATCATCTTTGTGCTGCTATCTTGGAGTTTGACGAGACTCCATACAGATATCGACAGATATTTGATTTATGGTACAGTCAATGCCAGAATGTTGTCACTACTCACATTTGTTGTGTCACTGATTAGTTCAGGAAAATGAAGTAAGTTTCCTCATATTTGTCTCATATTAGTCTGAACAGTAAGTGATTCATCAGCCCACCATTAACTGACAAGTCTCTCTAAAGTTGAAGGAGAGCATTTTAGAAGAAGGAAAAGAACCAGACAGCTCTGTGATTCATCTCACAGGGTTTAACCAGTATGTGGGCGAATGCTTCAGTTTCCCACTTTGATTACTACATAACTTGCATTTAGTTTCCAGCTAACAAGGGCCGTCCACCTAACATCAGCGGATGTTCTAGTTTCAGCTTCTGAACAGCATTATGTGCAATATTCTACTGAGAACCTCATGTACAAACGAGTCCACTACATGCTCTGAAACTGATTTGCAGTTACACCATTCAGAGAACAATAATCATTGGACATCCAACCATTTTTGTAGAAAGAGTTTAAAACAATTAGTATGTAGGTTTTAGATGTCGTGTTTGGACCATGTGGTGTTATGAGACGAGACTGTTCGACTGTAGGAGGGGAGAGAACTCTGAGAACAGCACAAGTTCTGGGCAGCTTCTGCTTTAAGCTAGAAGGCCAGACCCACCATCCCCCGACCCCCTTAATGAACAGTGCAACTGATATGAAAGCCTGACCAACAGGGAATAGATTCCATCATCATAGGAAATGGAAGGCAGAGATGGAAATTTATTGGATGTTAGGTTGGAAGTTATGGAAATGGATTTCTGAAATTACTAAAATTTAGAAGGAGCATGCCTGAAGCTCCTCTTTCTAAAGTTGAGTTATTTCATGAACACATTTGGTGCTAAACGGAGGGGGAGATCTTTTTAAATCAAGGCTACAAAGATGCGACATGTGAACGTTTACTATTATAGCATGGGGACGTTCTTAGAACGATGTGAGGACATTGGAAGAGAAGGCCTTTATACAATCTGTGGGAGCCTACAAAATAACGTTTCCAACTTTTAAAGCCATTCTGAACGTGTGCCCAGGATGTCGATTTGGTAGCTGGGCTCATAGTTGTTACTGAAACAAGCTGTTGTTATAGAATAATAAGTCTAAAGGTAATAAATGAATAATAAGCCTAGGGTTCAATAGGTAAAGCTATAAAGGTAATAACTGAATAATAAGCCTAGGGTTCAACAGGTTAAGCTATGCTCTGAGCTAAGCTATTGACTCTTCTTAATGAACCAGTATATATTTATCAAAGGGAACCGGTTTACCTGCTTGAACAGAGAAACTGGCAATATACAATCCCAGTTCTGGCACAGACAAAAGCTCTTGGAGGGTTTAGCCAATGTTCTTAGAGGACAATAGGTGACACTTAATACCAAATTAAACAATGGCAATTTATGTCATTTGCTCTGGTGAGAGTGTTCAATGAAAAAAGCAGCGTCAGTGCATGAAGGGGAGAAATTCTGCAGTGTCATCATGATTGTTCCTATTGACTTGCTAGGCCAGATGACACAGTAAGAATAAGAAGTGACATCTGCATTCCATTTAAAACACCTGGAAATGGCCTGGACTGAGTTTTCAGGTTTGCATGTCGTCAGTGAAGCGAAGGCGGAACTTAGATAAAGTGTCACTCAATGCCCGGTCAAAGTTCAGCTGTGAGTCACAGAGAACAGCTGGAGTTCAGATAGAGAAGGACTTTATCATCCTGACCGTGAAGAGCAGAATGAAACGATGTGGAATCAGGCTAACGCTGAAGGGCCACTCTGTGTTTGTGTATGTGTGCCAGGCTCTGTTTATGGTGTGTGGACGGGAGCCAGGTTGACTTTTTCACTGAGCTTCTGGATGAGCACAGAAAGCTCCTCTGTGGCCTGGGACTTCTCCTCTAGCAGCTCGTAGCGCAGACTGGAGATATCCTGCTTTATCTCTTTCAGCTCACCTGTTTGTGGGGACACACACACAAGATACATACACATGAACATAACACGCCCACAGTTACTCACACCCACAAGGGACGTAATGACAGAGAAACAGAGTTAGTCATGCAAGCCAGACGCTTATCCATTCATCTATCGGTTGGAAGTCTGGCACATTTTTTTGTTTAGCGCGGCCAAGATCCACCTACTTTGTCAGGAAGTGAGTGACATGCAGAGGAACCGATAGCAAACAGTCTATTTTGCATGACGTACAGTACTGTGCAAAAATCAAAGACCATCCTCCAATTATTAGTTTCCAGTCAAAACAGCCATTAAGCACAAGTCCGAAAAATTACAATGTCAGGAAAAAAAAAAGCAAAAACAGAAAATTACACTGAGGCATCAACAACTAAATGTAATACAGGGTGATTCAAAAAGATTAATCCGATTTCAAAATGATTTATTTCACTTGTAAATCATTACAGAACAATGCAGTAAACTGTAAATGGTTTAACTGAGCATAAAGTTTATTATGTAAGTGCTCAATATGAACCTCCTCCAGCTGTACAGACAACATCAACGCCACAGTCAAATTCAGCCCATACTCGATTGAGCATGTCAGCGATAATCACGTTGCACAGTTATGACGGATTCACTCTTATTGAAGTGGAGATCGCAGAGCGCTTTCTGGTCAGGGGTCGCCATCTCCTCACAGACTGAAGGGAGCCATCGTCCGGTGACAGTCAGAAACTCTATGACCCCCTCTTTCAATTGGTATGTGATTGGTTCCTAGGTGCCTCACGGTAGTAAAAATATGGTGCTTTGAAATCGGATGAATCTTTTTGAATCACCCTGTATTTTTTCAGTATTTAGTGTGTCCACTCTTTACCTTTATTACAGCTTCTATTCAGGAGACTCACTTTTAGGTACCTTCAAAGTTCAGTCTTAGACGTTGGTTGCATTTTCTGCTTCTCTGGATCCAAGTAATCCCAAACATATTCAGTGATGTTGAGGTCTGGACTCTGGGGTTTGCAGTCTATTATTCTGGGGAAACCAGCAGCTTCTTTGTTTGGTAAATACCTCTTGATCTTCTCAGTAGTGTGCTTTGGGTCCTTATCAAACATTTTCCAGAGGGTACTGTATGGCATATTAAAATTTATGTCCATCACCATTCATGGTGCCTTCAATCAAAAACAAATCACCAACTGTTGCTACATCCCTAGACCTGGACTGATCCTCCACCATGCTTGACTGATGTTTGCAGACGTGGTCCAAAGTCTTTTCATTGCTTCGGCAGCAAACGCACTGCCTCCTGACTTCAAATTTGGGTCTGGACATTATTTTGAGAACACTAGCAGCTTCTTTGTTTGATTTGCAAAGGTTCTTCGTTTTTGTCTATTTTCTTTTCTCAGTAAGAGCTTCTTAACAGCTACACATCCTTTCAGACCCATAGCGCTGAGTCGTCTTCTCACAGTGGAAGGATGGACAGAAACACCTGTGGATGTTTTCAGATCTGAATCAGCTTGATTTTCTCCTCTCTCACAGATGAAAGCTTTAAGTGCTGTTTATCTGATGGGGACAGTGCTGGTGTCTACCAGGTCTTACACAGTTGTTAGGAGTCTCATTTTTTTCACAGTAATTTATTTATAATTATAATTCATAGTAAATTATTTCCCTCTTAGGCAAGTAGATTATCTCATATCTAATCTCCTCTGGAACGTCTTCTGAAAATAAATAACCTGTACTTGTAATGGCTGTTTTGACTAGAAGTTAAATAAAGCAAAGGTGGTCTCTGACTTTTGCACAGTATTGCATGTGAGCAGGCAATTTTCAGAAAAATGTGGGAAAAAACATAGGAAAGCTTTATGTCTGCTGGCAATATGCAATCATATCTTTGCAAGGCCTCAAATAAAACTGTTTAACAGTCTTTCAACGTGTAATGATGTGAACAATTTTTTTTCCGACCCACTGCCTATATCGCACTCTTAAAGGCTAATTATTGTCACCCTAATGAAAAGCCAACTGCCAGTACTTCACTTAACAAGGGTAGTTTTCCTTTGGATGGGAAGTATATATTGCATATACATGGATGTGTGGATAATCAGTCATAAAGTAACTGACAGTATTCCAGTTGTGGCCAGATTAGTGTGCAACAGATACACACACAGGCTGAGAGTGGTCACAGTGGAACAGTAGCTGCACATATTTCTTGATATTTTTTTCACACGTTTCACATATTTCACAGAAAAATTCAACTGTTCCCAATTTCTGCTGAAACAATGAAAGTGATACAATCACTTCTGTTTCATTTGCCACCAGCGCTTTGGTCTGGCCTAAATCTCAAATCACTTCTTTACCTTCGTTGACTTCGTCGTTCTCTTTGTCCACTTGTGCTTTCAGGACGTAGCGCTTTATGAGCCGCTTCATGATTTGCTGTGGGAAGATGAGCGGAGATTGAAGATGAAAAAAGAGATTAGGACAGTTGATAAAAGCTCAAGTATGTCAACCACTTGGGGACATTCATTCATTTGGCATATGGAGAGGAGGAGGAGCAGAGGAGAAGGAAGAGGAGGAGAGAGGGGTTGAGGACAGGAGGAAGAGGAAAAGGGAGAGAGGCTAGAAACGCTGACTAAGATGAGGAGGAGAGCAGAGTATAGAAGTAGAAAGGAGGACAGGAGGACACAGGACAGATAAAAAAGAAGTGAGGAAAGAAAGAAGAGAAGAAAAGGTGGAAGAGGACTACAGAGAAAAAGATGAGGAAGGGCAGCAGAGAAAGATGAAAGGAGAGGATCAGAAAAGAAGAGAGAAGGGCATCAGAGAAGAAAGCATGAGAAGAGAGGAAAGGAGGAGAAGCAGAAGAAGAGGTTGGCAAAGAAGAGCATAGGAAAGAAGACAGGAGAGGAGAAGAGGAAAAGCAAATGAAAGGAGGAGGGAGGACAGGAGGGTATGGAAGAGGGAATGGAGGAGCAGCGTTCTTGCCTGATAGCGTGTGGGCTGGTTGAGGATGCTGCTGAAGCTGTGAGACTCAGTCATGCGCATGTTGGACTGTGAGAAGAGGTTCAGCTGTAAGCAGTGAAACACAGACAAACAGACGGTCAGAAACAGGTGAATCCTGCCCAGCGGTCAGTCAGCAGTGAGGATGTTTACAGTAAATCAGTACATAGTTAATGAACATGCACATACATAGCTATTTACAATATATGCTGCATGTTTGGTGATAAACACATACACACATTGCTGGCATGGCGTTTTTCCACACGGCGGTGCAGTAACATACGGTACAATTACAAACCCGTGATCACTCGTTTTGTCATCATTTCCACCGCCGAGTGACCCGTACTCTACCTGAATGACCATGCTGAATTTTTGCTGAGGTACCAAGTGTGCTGAGCTGGAATACATGGGTGGAGCTAGTAATGATGCAAACCATTGAGTGGTCAAACACAATTGTGACTGAATTGTCGTGCTGTGTCAGTGGAGTCAGATGATTTTTTAAATAAAACATTAGCTAACCAGAATTGCTGTCTGTGACTCATTTACAACCATTGGTAAGGCAAACAGTAAAGTAAAAGGTAAATCCTAAAGTAAAAGGTAAAAAGTGGTTGGTATGGTGTAGTGGGTAACACCTCTGCCTTCTATGCTGTAGACTGGGGTTCAACCCCCTGCTCTGGATAAGAGCGTCTGCCAAATAATGTAAATGTAAATAAATTAGAGCTTGAAACTTCTCCATATTTGCTGCTGTTTGTTTACTTTTAGCATTACACTCACATGATGTGTAATCGTTTCATGCCTCACTGTACTGTCCAGTGCACAAATGCCTTTAGAAACTGTAGCCCATCTGCCAACACAATAGGTGTTAGGCATCCTCTAGCCCACATGTGTCAAACAGCATGCACTGCAGTGCTCCAACTTCCCTACCCCAAAAGCAGTCCATGGGACAGCGGTTACACCAAAGTTCTACACAGTTCTACTAATTCCACACCAGTCATATCACCAAACACACTAGCTGCAGTTCAGCCAATATAAACACCTAACGCTGGCTCAGTAGCTCAGAAACTGGACCCAAGTCTTACTGAACTTGCAGCAGAGAAAGGATGCCAGGTGTCTAGTTCAAGCAGATAGGTAGTTTTAAAAGACAGAGCTCCTGAGGACATTTAAATTTTGAATATATCAAATATTCATGTAATATTTCAAGTGCCTGTATTTTACTGTTGAAGTTTTCATGTGTTTTGAATAAACAATGGCCAGTTTGGGTTACAGCACAACATTAATTAAACATGAAATGAGAACACAGGTATTCTCAGGCCCACAGATTTGTTGAGAGTTTAAAATTTGGTCCTTTTAGTGGTTGAGTTTGCCACCCCTGCTCTAGCCCTTCATCAGTGATCAGTGGATAGGCCACTTTTGCACAAACGACACAACCCATTTTGTGTCCGGACAGTCCTTGTAACAAGTGAATTCATTACTTTAAGTGAATAATACTTAAATATTATTTAGCTGAATGCAATCAAATCCTCACCACAGTGTTCTAGTGTAAAGTCCTCAAAGAAGAGTAGAGGCTGTGACTGTAGCAGTGGGGAAACAAACTCCCTGTTAATACCCTTGATTTCAGAAGAAACGTTGGATGGGCAGGAGTCTACAGACTTTTGGACAGTGTAGCAATCAGTAAGCTGGAAACTCTGAATATTAGACACAGATGTTCCATTAGGCTTCTGACTAAATCCACATAGAGTGCTGCCTACACTCTCAGAAAAGGGTACTAAACTGTCACTGGGGTGGCTCCCTCAAGGATACATCTCAGTACCTTTAGTCAGGTGACATAATTGTACCATAATCCACTGAAATTATATTTACTAAGTCGTATTGACTCCACACACCCCGTCTCATCCATTTTATTGTATTGTTTTGATAAACAGCAGATTAATGAAAAGGTACAAATGTGCACCTTTGCCCTGAGAAAAAAAATATTTAAGATACACAATTTGCAGGTACATTTACATTGTTTGTACCTTAATGAATGAAAAAAGTACAGTACACTGTTTAGCCAGTAGGTGGCATACAGGACCACTGAAATCTTAACTCTGCTAAACAGATTCTAACAAGAGGTCACAAATCTTTCTCCACTTCCTCTTATATAAGACATTTACAGTCATGTGCAATAGTTTGGACACCCCTGGTCAAATTGAATGTTTTGTTGATTTTCTAGGTGAGAAAAAACTTGAATGGCAATGGCATTTATTGTCAGTGGCAAATAAAGAACTTAATTGTCATTTTCTGCATACAGTTTCTATTTGTTTACTGAGTTTAACATTTTGGAAAAAATAAAACATTCACTATAACTTCACAGGCCAGATTTTGTGCTTTATTTTGTCTCCAGTGTGTTAAATCCAGCAAATGAACAGTAACTGCATTAAAATGTGCAGGAGCGTGTTCTCTGTAGAGGACATGTAAACTTATTTTCATTTAGAGCAGGAGTGTCAAACTTAACCAGTAAAATTAAAGTTGTGCTCTAACCCGAACTGGCCATAGTTTATTCAAAATACGCAAAACCTTTAGCAGTAAAAATAAGAACACACTACCTATTTGCTTGAACTAGACACCTGGCATCATTAAGGTTTGGGCTCAGTTTCTGAGCTGCTTAGCTGTTAAGTGTTTATATTGGCTGAATGGCAGCTGAAATGCATTTTGGTGATAAGACTGGTGTGGAATTGTGAACTGAGATGTAACTGCTGTCCCACAGACTGTTGTTGGGGTAGGAGAATCAGAGCACATTACGTTGCAGTGCATGCTGGGGACTAATATTAATAGAAAAAATACTTTTGTGGGCCAGATAGGATTGTGTGGCAGGCCTGATCTGGCCCGCGGGCCTTGTGTTTGAAAATCAATAAGACGTCATTTGACCAGGGTGCCCAATCTTTCACATACGACTGTAAATTAGAGAACTACAGGCCTTCAGATCAGCCGCAGAGTTTCGTTACTGGGTTTTAAAACAGTTCCTGACAGTGCTGACACAAGCAGGTGCTTTAACCCTAAAGCTGTATGAAAACTGAACTGAAATCACGCGGCTAATTCTAATTAAATACGAATATTAACTCCACACAGAAGAGCAAAGCACCACTGCGGCGAGACAAAACCCTCTCCTCAGCTCTCTTTGATAACAACGCTTCAGATTTGAACTTGTCAGCTTTTCAGTTATGTCAGCCTGGAGGAAAAGATCCACCCGTTTAGATTGAATTAGATATGTACAGAAGAGCGAACGCGCGAGATCTCGCCACACATGCATCACGATAGCACGGTTCATTCTCTGCTTTCTGCGAACAGCTCTTTGAAGTTTTATTAAAGGGTGAATGATCGCTGCCCCAGTAATGAGCAGGGATTGCCCTGTTCACCTCATCTAACTTCTCAACAGCATTGATTACAACTACAGGCTGAATCAGAGCAAAGCTATACATCTCGTCTCTATTAGACACGGACAGCACCTTGTTTTTGGGAGAAAGTCTGATGTGTTAGTGATACAGGAGAGAGAGATAAAGTGCTGCTCTACACTGAAACACACAGTCAGACTGAGGAGGACAAAACATCACCGGCCAATAGAAACGCTGAATTCTCAACATAGACAGACGCAGGTAGAGAGTGAATGCAGAGCTGAAAGGAGAGAGAGAGAGACAGGGAGAGAAGGAGATGGTGAGAAAGAGAGAAAGAGGAATGACATACAGATAGAACAGAGAGGGAATGATGACAAATACAGAGAAAGAAAGAAAGAAAGAAAGAAAGAAAGAAAGAAAGAAAGAAAAAGAAAAAGAGAAGGAGCAGGAGAGAAAGGAATAATATACAGATAAGAGAGGGGGAATGAGGTGAAACAAAAAGAAAAAGAAAGAAAGCAGGAGACAGGAATGATATACAGATTAAAGGACAGAGAGAGAAATAAGACATGAGGAAGAAGAAAGACAGGAATGATATACAAGTAGAAGAGAGAGGGAATGAGGAGAAACAGAGAAAGAAAGAAAGAAAGAAAGAAAAAGAAAAAAAAGAAAAAAAATGAAAATGAGAGAGGGAATAAGGTGAAACAGAAAGAAAGAGAGAAGGAGCTGGAGAGAGAGGATTGATACAAAGAGAGGGAATGAAAAGAAACAGAGAAAGAAAGGAAGAAAGCAGAAGAGAAACGAATGATATACAGATAAAAGGGAATTGGGAGAAACACATGAAGAAAAACACAAATGATAGGAGAGAGAGAGAGAGAGAGAAGGAGACAGGGAAAGAGAGGAATGAGATACAGACAGAAAGAGCAAGAGAGAGGGAAATAGGAAAAGTAGAGAGAGAGAATGAGAGAGGTGGAATAATGGAGAAAGAGGTGGGATGAAATAGAGGGAAAGAGAAAGAAAGGAGAAATAAAAAGAGAGGAGCAATTAAACATAGAGATGAAGAAAAGGAGAGAAATTGAGATGAGGAATGAGAGAAAGAGAGAGAGAGAGAGAGAGAGAGAGAGAGAGAGAGAGAGAGAGAGAGAGAGAGGGAGACCTTTGTTAGTGTGAATCTCAGTGTCTTCCCTGCACAACTGTAGAGGAAAGTAAGGGTTTATGCATTATTCAAACACACATTCATTCTCTCTCTCTCTCTCTCTCTCTCTCCCTCTCTCTCTCTCTCCCACTCTCTCTCTCTCCCACTATCTCTCTCTCTCTCACAGGTGCGTACTCTGGATTTGGAGCTATCCATGCCGAGCTCCACGTCTTTGTTCAGGCGGGGACGGCGGCAGCGCAGCAGACTGATGAGTTTGCTGATGCAGTGGACGAAGGACTTGGGGCTGGGCACGATGCTGAAGGGCGGCGGCAGAGTTTTACCGTTATCAAAATACGACAGCCACAGTTTAGACCTGGCAAACTTCCACTCCACATCCGCATCGTCCTGCAAAACACAGATTGTACAGAAACAGCCACGTTACTGCAGAGGTGACTTTCTGTTGTTTGGAATCATCAGTTTTATCTTCTGCAAGGTTTGTTTTAATTGTAACTACATGACCCAGAGGAGGACAGGTTCCCCTTAGGGCCTTGTTTCACAGTGTGCCTGAATTTTAAAACTGAGGTGCAAAGTTTCACAGCGGCAGCAAAATTGTGGAACCACTGATAAAGAGACAGTCGTAAACATTCTACAGGGATGCACTTCTACTCCAGTTAAAAAAAATAAATAAATAAATAACACATAAGACAGATGTCAGGTGTAATACCCGCCCTCAACACAAGAGGTCAGCCTCTCCTGAGTATTGGGCTCTTTCCTAGTGACACCTTTGTCTTTTTCACCTGCTCATCTACTTCCCTTTATAAGGACCTTCACAAACAGGAGCTGTGTCCCAATTCAGGGGCTGCATCCTTCGAAGGACACGGTCAATGAAGGCGTGTCCTTCGAAGGCTGCTTAGACATGTGAAGGTTGAACTGAAATGAGACGATCTGTTGTGTCACAGCACCGCTGTTCCCGCGTTTACCGGTGCATCATGAAACGCCGCTCCTGTGAAGTTCTTTTAAAGTTCTTTAAAGATGGAGCCAGAAAGTTTGATTTAATTTTTTTATTTTTTCATTTATTAGAGCTGGAGATGCTTCTCTCTGTCTGCTCCTGCCTCTCTAAAACAAAACGAAACGGTACCATAAGTTTTGCTTCAGACCACATTGTTATTTATTTATTTATTTTTAAACATTTGTGTCATTAGCTATTCACCTCAGTATAAACCCACTACATCTATTTAAAAGTGTCTCCTCAGCCACCGTTCACTCGTCTGCTGACGCTGCCATGTTCTCGATTCCTCACTTGCACGCAATGAACCTGGCTTTTCTATGGCAACAAAGGATCCATCATATATCAGCCGCATATGAAGGAGCCTTCGAAATGGGACAGGCCAGTCGCGCAGCTGTGACGCCACAGCCCTTTAAATGCAACCTTTTGGACGGTCTCTGATTCTGATTCTGGTTTTTGGGATTTTGATACTGTGTTTTTTGAGTCAACAGGAAAAAATGGATTTAAACAGCTCTGGAGAGCCTTCATTACAACAGAAGAAACAGTTTTGCTTCCTGAAATAACCACTGTCTGACAGACAGATCTGTGAGTGTGAAGAACCTTTTAAAAGTAGAATCTTCACATAATGCAACAGTTCCTTAGTAACTTGGGGGTTCTTTCTAGAACCTTTATACAGGGTGATTCAAAAAGATTCATCCAATTTCAAAGCACCATATTTTTACTACCGTGAGGCGCCTAGGAACCAATCACATACCAACTGAAAGAGGGAGTCATAGAGTTTCTGACTGTCACCGGACGATGGCTCCCTTCAGTCTGCGAGGAGATGGCGACAGAAAGCGTTCTGTGTTCTCCACTCCAATAAGAGTGAATCCGTCATAACTGTGCAACATGATTTTCGTCAGCAGTGAACCTCCAACAGCTCAGAGCGTTCGTTGTTGGTTCCACAACACTGGATGATCTCCGAAATCTCACTGAAAGAGCTGTGAGTGCAGCGACACCCGACATGCTCAATGGAGTGTGGGATGAATTTGACTATGGCGTTGATGTTGTCTGTACAGCTGGAGGAGGTTCATATTGAGAACTTGTAAAATTAAAATAAACTTCATGCTCATTTAACCATTTACAGTTTACTGCATTGTTCTGTAATGATTTACAAGTGAAATAAATCATTTTGAAAGTCGATTAATCTTTTTGAATATTATGTACAGGTTCTTCACAGTCACACATCTCATTTTCATATGCTTCCTCATAGAACCCTCTGCTTAAAAAGTTGAATTAGGGAACCAAAAGTGGTTCTTCTATAGCATCACACGAATCCTTTCTGGCACCTTTATTTTTTAAGAATGTAGCTGTGCTCTGGAGGAACAGCCACTGTGTCCGCTGCCAATGTGAGAGGACGTCTCCCAACAACACACCAAGGTCTATGAAAAACTAACTGAATGCTGCTCAAACAGCAGTTAAATGGAAAGGCAACTGATTACATATTTCAGTAGCTCCACCCATATTTTGCATAATCCTCCCTCAGAGAGATGCACGTTTTCCATATTGCTTTTACAGTTAAAGACTTTCACAGCAGTTTTGTACACAATACATATGATTTTTGAATGGAATGCATCCCATTAGTGTCTGAAACCTGGCACAAAGTGCTTAGTATAGTACAGTACAGTACAAAAGTCAGAGACTATTTAATTTCCAGTCAAATCACCATTAAGTACTTATTCATTGTTACTATGAAAGAAGCAGAAATCACTAAACATAATATTACACAGAAGCCTTAACAACTAAATATAATATAAATGCTTAAGTGTCCACACTTTATCTTTATTACAGCTTCCATTCTTTTAAGGAGACTCACTTTCAGTTTTTCAAAGAAGTCTGCAGGGATGTTTTTCACACCTCCAAAGTTCAGTCTTAGAAGTTGTATTTTCTGTTTCTCACTATCCAAATAATCCCAAACACATTCAGTGGTGTTGAGGTCTGGACTCTGGAGTGGTCAGTCCATTGTTCAGATACTTTGATGTGTCCGTCTCCTTTTCTCAGTAAGAGCTTCTTGTCAGCTACACATCCTTTCAGACTCATAGCGCTGAGTCATCTTCTCACAGTGGAAGGATGGACAGAAACACCTGTGGATGTTTTCAGATCTGAAGCAGCTTGATTTTCTCCTCTCTCTCAGAGATGAAAGCTTTAAGTGCTGTTTATCTGATGGGGACAGTGCTGGTGGTCTACCGTGTTCCAGGTGGTTGTTAGGAGTCTCATTTTCTCTGTATCTTTATCATTTTTTGAACTCTGTTGTTGGAAACTTGTTTTTCTGCTTATTTACCTTGATTTTCCCCTTCCTTATCTGATCTCCTCAGAAATATGTCCTAAAAAATAAGTAACGTAGTTGGCAAGTGACCTGAATAACTTGTATTTGACCGGTACAGTTTGACCAGAAATTATATAAATGAAGGGTGGTCTCTGACTTCTGCACAGTTACCTCTGCCCCTGATGTTCCTCCCTCATGCTCTTTGGGAGTTTTCCTGCAACTAATTTAGATCCAAACTAGTGCTGATTTACAGCCTGAGTTTCTACGTTTTTATTCTAAAATAACCGGTTCATCCATCTTTGACCAGAAGCATAGAACACACAGGAGAGGCTGATATAACTCATGCCCTGCTCTAACTCCCAAGCTTCAAAATGCTCCATGCTCTAATCGGAATGGACAGCTAACTGATGAATGTAAAGCTTCCTGTCTTTGCCCTCTGAACTCAAAGCGTGGCTGTCATCAAATAACCGAATGCCCATTAATCTCTGTCAGATTACAGTAGTGTAAAAATCCAATGTCATTAACATTCTTTGAGGTGCTGCTTTTCTATCCTCCGTCCTTGTTTCTCGCTCTCGCTTTTACTCTGATTCTACTTTTGGGATTAGTACACGGAGGATAATCTGCATATGCATAACATTTTCAACATATTTATCTATTTATGGAACACATCGTGACCTCTACTCCCACATCAAGCCCACTGATGATAAATGGAGATTATGGCTTTTTTGCTCTCCAACCAGAGAGTCTCCCTGAAACAGTAAAGAGGATGAGATGGAGTTTAAAACAAAAGTTCTAGCTAGGAGTCTAGGTTAGGTGATGCCTACAGTGTCCCGCCAATCAAATAACAGAACTGTTAGAATCGTAACTTATATAACCTCCATTCACAGTGTGGTTTTTCGATTGCTGTTGCTGCTTGATTTCGATTAATCTTAACTCTTTGCTCTTTCACAGTGTAATCCCTTGAGACACAGCTTTGCTTTCAGAGCTCATAGGGAAATGGGAACTCGTCAGCTGCTCTCTAGGCGAAGGTTAGACATGGCCACAGTTTTAACTTACTAGAAATTGCAACACTAAGCAATGAAAAGAAACAGATTACGAATATAAACGTTCTCAGACTTCTCACCTCTATCTCCTGGTAGGAGCTGTTGATCATGGCGATGAGCATGTTGAGCAGAACCACGACCATAGTAACGTTATATATCCCGTACAGAACGTAGCCGATGTTCTCAATAAACTTGTGGTCATACTTTAGCACCACGGAGGAAACTTCAGACAGGCCAAATATGGACCAAAACAGGGTTTTAAAACTCTCCTCGACTCTGCAGAGACATATAGGGGAAGAGAGATAGTAAAGCAGGCCCAAGTCCAGTATTAAATCACACACACACACACACACACACACACACATATTTGACATAATTTGAAAATGCATGCTACTCTTTACATTGTGTGTAAATTTCATGATGAATGGATCAAAAGAAACAGCTCAAAATGACCTGGAAAAAAATCTGGTTCCATTGACTTACATTAAAAGTAAAGTCTAAGTAGTTTTTCCTTTTCCTGTAAAGTTACCATTTTGGAGATACGAGGTTTTGTTCTGACGACAGCGACATATTATATACAAAAGTAGAGGTTCCTAGATGGTTTATGGGTTGGACATATGCTTCTTGGAAAATCTGGTTCATTAATACAGAACTTCTACATTGTGCACAGATTCTTTAAACTTTAAAAAGGTTCCTCACACTCACACATCACATTTACTAAATGGTTCTTTAAAGAACCGTCCACACATCACATTTACTAAATGGTTCTTTAAACACCGTCCACTGAATAGGATCTTTAAGGAAATTAATGTAGTTCTTCTTGGCACTGACGTAAAGAACCCACTTAGATTTTTTAGGAGTGTAGCTGTTTGTAGACTAACCTGATATGGGTTTATGATTGAAGTTTAAACACACTCAATCAGTAAAACAAGCCTTTAAAATGGATTCTGGCTTTAAACAGAAGCAGTTCTGATTTTAAGTCAGGGAGGCTACGTTCTTCCATTATATCAGTCTAGAAACTGAAAATATTCTTTGTCAAAACTGTAAATCGTATATAAAACTAAGCAAATAAAAGGGAAATTTTCCTGCACAATTCAATCACAGAGATCATAGTAAACAATGTAATTCAGATGGTTTATTATGAAATGAGCCTTTATAGAAAAACCTGCCAATTGCTAAGATTTCTCAGTGGTGGTGATCACTCATTGAAAAAGGTTTGTTGCCCAATTTTTAATGCTTTTTCAGAGCTCAACATAGCAAAATAATACAATTTGAACTGGAAAATGACCAACTTGTGCACACAAACTCAAATATGCCAATCATTAATGTCCATTTTATTCAAACCGACTACTATCCAAAAGCATGGATATATGCTTAGAGACTGCATGACCCTTCAGTGTGACTTTAGCAATGTCACCATTCTCTACCGCGCCAGTTCCTGACCACAGGATCACTGTCGGATAAGTGGTTTTAGTTAACTGTTCTGAAAATGAAATGGAATCATCTTATAATTTAGTTAGGAATGTTCCAATTCACCCCCCCCCCGCATCGTCCCACCCTCCAATCAGATTTGAGACCTTTAATATGGAGCATCAGCTGATATTTAGTCTCATCCAATCTGTGTTTTCATATATAATATCAAATAGAACAGCACAATTGAGGTAAAATACATTAATGTTACTTCAGCCTTAGTATGCGTATAATATAAGATTCTGGACTGATATGTTTAGATGTTTAGCTCACTTTTTGTTGTTCCGTTTAATATGATTTAATTTTATTGATCTCCCAGATTACGTAGCTACTTCAATATACAGTATAATCTTAGATTTTTGAGAAAACAGAAATATTCAGATTTTTCTTGCAGTGTTTAGATACAAGGCGGTTAGTTCAACTACAGAAGAAGCACAGGCAGTGCAGAAATTACAGTTTTCATTTTCCACTGTAAAGCAGTTCCAGACTGTAGATATTCAGACTGCTTTGCTACCTTCTGTTATCTACCTCACTGCTGCAGTGTGTTGAATAATGTCTGTTTATGGCGCCTCTATGACAGCGGTGTAAACAGGGTGCAAAAAACCTGAACTGGATAGGGGTTTGTTTAGCCAATACCTGAGTAATTAAAATATGCCTTGACATCCCTACATTTAATACCTCTAACAGATGAAAATAAAACATTTTCAGACATGTTATGGCTTTTAAATTTTCATATCTATTTTAAGACTTTGGTAGACTTTTTAAGGATCTGTGGGGAAACCTGTGAAAGCTAGCTTTAAGATAGATTTTGGCCTAAAACATAATTTTGAAATACATTAATGGTGGAAGGTTACATGTAGGGTCAAAACAGTCCCTGAAGAACACAACCCTTGCTTCTGATCACCAATGCCGTAATGAAATCTGAGTCAAAGTTTATTCTATTTCACATCAAACCACTCTAAATGACTGTTTATCTCATTTAAAAAAAAAATGGTAGAATTCCCCTTCAACATCTTCCATATGGAAAAAATAAATCTGCTTTATGGTCTGGGATTACTGCCATAAACAGAAATCATGTGTTCACATAACTGTAGACAGCCTGTGTGTATATGTGTCTAAATAAATGTATGGTGTGTGTCTGAGGAATGACCAAAAACCAGCAGCTATGGTGATAACTAATGATTTCCAGGGCTCAACGTTCTGCTTATGAAGCTGGCAGATCTGAGGAAATAGTTCAGACTGTTTCCTTCCCTCCTGCTGTCTTTAGCAGTACAGTGTCCTTCCTGAAGATAAGCTACGGTGTGAAATTAGTTGCTTTGCTTGGTGTCTTCATGCTTTGCACTGCCTCTCTCAGTTCCATCTGAATTAGTGTGGAAGTAGATGGTGGAGCTGAGCTTACGGAGCCTATATGGCACTCTCTGCCTGAGTGAGCTGAGCTTAAATTAACGCTATATCCCAATATACTCTTTTATTGTTACTTAATTGCCTTCTCATGCTATGCTTTACACTTTCTTGCCCTCGCCCTGTACTTAATGCCTTTTCCACACCCAGCCGCGCTCTTTTTCATGCATAAGAAAATAAAGGGGGAAGGGTTTAGAAAGATTGATTGGTTGTTGTCCTGTCACTCACGTGGTGAAGGCAGGGTTAACCTTGGCACCCAGATAGTAGGAATAGAGGATGAACATGCCAATCATGAAGGCGAGGAAGACCATGATGAACAGCACCATGAACTTGAAGATGTCTTTAACGGTTCGCCCCAGGGAAATCTGCAGTGGGCCGAAGCTTTCGTTGGCCGGGAGGATGTAGGCGATCCGGGAGAAGCTCAGGACCACAGCAATGGCGTATAGCCCCTCAGAGATAAGCTGAGGGTCTGAGGGAAGCCACTTATCCCTCGCTAGAAGAAGACAGTCACACTGAATTTACATACCAATTAGTAAAACCTTTTTGCATAATAATCTATTCACTGTAATTTCACTACACCAACCCCACAGGGCAGCCTGAATGGCTGAATTATTTGTGGATACACTTGAAATGGCCAAGCTGGCTATGATTTGTTTGAAACATTTAAAATATTTTAAAATGATGAACTGATATCAGTGAAGTTTAATAGTAAATCTAAGGTAGCTCTTCACCTTTGCCCCTCTGAGATAAGCTAAGGGTCTGAGGGAAGCCATTTTTCTTGTGATGGAGAAAGAGAATCACACTGGAACTTGCACACCATTCAGTAAATCCCTCTGCTCTGCTACTGTGCCAAAACAGCACAATAATCTAGTCTTTCTTATCTTATTTTGCTAATCCCAATTGCCAATCTCAATTTGATTGGCTAAATTATTAGCAGAAAATATACAAGTTATTTATCAGTTTATCCACACTTAACTTGTTTTAATGACCTCAGAGAAGATTAAACCTAAAGAGTAAACCTAAGATGATTAATTTACTGACTGCCTCAGATTCTGGAAAAGTCTCTCCTCTGGTACCACAGAACTTGAGACCAGCTTTAAATACAACTGACCCTGATATTTTAACGGACAGGCTTGAAATTGTGCTCGGTTTAGACAGATAAGATCTTGCCCAGTTTAGATTTTACTTGAAAGGCTGCTGCCCAGGGAGTTTTCTGAATATAGAAAAGAACAATATGGTGTCCCACAAGGCTCTGTTTTAGGGCCCTTACTGTTCTCCCTTTATTTATTTGCTGGCTATCACTTTTATGCTGATGATATTGGGTTATACATGTATTGATCCTGTGACATATCTACACATAGTGGAAAACTATGTTAAAGACATAAAAAGCCAGGATGACCAGAAACTTCCTCCTGCTAAATTCCGATAAAACAGATTTATTGCTGTTGGGTCTTAACTCCTATTGAAAGAAGGTTGCAGATTTTATCTTTATCTGTTTCTTATTTAATATTTAATAGTTACTGAAGAAAAAGTATTAAGATTAATAAGATATAATAAACCTATGGGTTTAAGATGTTAATAAATTGTGAAGTCATGCAGTCTAGAAATGCAATCTGTGGCCTCAGTGCTGGGTGGATGTGGGTGCTCTCTGAAGCAGGGCTTATGGGGTTTAAAGCCTCACACACTCACCGTACGTGAAGTACTTGATGTCAGGCGGCAACGTGACCAGAGACAGGTCAGCGGCGTGGATCTTCTCATCCACGTACTCTTGGGCCTTCATGGCCTGCAGAAAGGCTAAGAAGCGGGCGGTGAACGCCGCAATGAAGATGGACAGCATGCCGAAATCCAGAACGTTCCACAGTTGCAGGATGTACTCCCTGGGCCCTTCTGTCCAGAGCTCTTTACACTCTGACCACATCATACCTGCAGGATTGGGTGGAAGAGCGAGAGTTTTACTCTCTGTGGGCCAAAACACTCACTCCTCAGCCGTTAAATAAAGTGCAACAGTGCTAGAGTTCTGTTTCTCTGTTTTAGTCCATCTATCCCCCTCTCATCTCTTATTCTGCTCCTCTCAGGGGAGTGAGCAGATAACAGAAAATCAATAAGCTTGTTCTTGCGCTGCTGTATTTACTGGGTTATGCCCTTCATGCAGTTAGGAGAGAGCATTATTCTGAGCCTGGTATGTATGGTTGCACTCCTGATGTCTTTCTCAAGCTGTAGCCATACATCTTGGCTTGATTTTATGCTCAAGAAATCCATGATGATATTCTGTCAAAGGCAGCAAGATTTACAGCATGATTATGCCTTTTCATGAGAGTAAGAGGAAGAGAGTCAGTCAAGCATGGAGATAAAGTGCTTTGAGGAACATTTGCATGTGTTAAAGTTGATTGAAAGAAACACATTTACACAGTTCTTCACTTCCACCAAATGCAGTCAATCAGCTAAGACATTCTGGGGTCTAAAATGTGCTTAGTTTTGCACTGGAGCTATGAGGCTAATGTGGCTAACAAGTAATACATGTTGTCTATAAAAATGTGCAAAAGGACAAAGTAAATGTAGGTTTTAATGTTGTGGCTGATACTACTGTTTTTACCTTTGTGACATACTATTGTCCATTTTACGGATGACAGTCTGTCAAACATTGTTAGGAACGCCATAATTAAGTCTATCTGAGATTACTTAAAAAAAGTTGAGTCATTTTTCGTGGCTGAGCACTTGAGTTGGTGAGTCACAAGCAGCAGGTGCCTTCTCTGCACACCGTGAAAACAATGGTCTTTTTGGAGTAAAACTAGTAAAATTTCCTGAAATCTCTTCTTTAAAATTGATTCAAGAGTTTTGTTTGAAGCTCACATAGCAGGTAAGCCACTGTATACCATTTGGTTTCACACAGGACTGTTTTTGTTGTTGGCCTCATTTCCCAAAGTTTTTTCTTTAATTTGTTCTTGAGAAAGGTCCTAAGGAAAAAGTCAACGTCAGATTCATGACGTGTTCCTACAAATGGCAAATAAGAAGACGGTGGTGAAGGTCAGAATCGTCGTGAAAACTGCGTAAGTAGGTTTTAAGAAATTTCTTCTTAAGAATGATTGGTGAATGAGGCCCAATGATTGGTTGTTTTGCATGCCAGGCAAATGACCCTTAAGAAAAGGTGATCCTTGGTCATGTTCAGAGATAAAACCTACCAGACTCTCTGGAGAGGTAGCAACACTGCTACACTGTGGATCCAAGTGAGATACAAATTGGAATTTTCATCTTTTTGGTCAAACGCAACACAAAATGAATAGGGTTGCATTGAAACTTACTGAGTCTGAAGCTCATATATGTAAGCGCGAATGTATGGGACACACGTATGAAACAAATGACTTGAGAAATTCAATACATATTTAAAAGCTTTGTATGTTTTATTTGTGACACAGAAGACAGCTTTTACCAAAAATAAAATATTTAAATTGTGAAAAAGTGGAACTGTATAAATTTCAGGCCATAAGTTATTTAGAAAGAGTTTGTATTGGTATTGACTGATACTTAAGGATCATGTATCAGTATTCTAAAGGAAAAAATGGTATCAGTGCATCCCTAAAAATTTACACACACAATTTGCGTGGTATATTGTTAGGTAGTGTAGGTGTAACGAATACTTGGTTAAGCAATGACTTGCACCCATCCTTATTTAGTAGCACGATCTAATGTGAGTGTGTCATGATTCAGGCATGTGGTGCGCGTAATGCTAATAATAAGCTTAACGTCTTGGATGATCAATTATATTTAAGATAAGAGAAAAACTGTAAATTAGATGTTTTGCCAATCTATTCCTTTATGTAAAGCTGGTCAAAAGATCTAACATATTTCAGGGCTGCACTTACATTATTTGTGGATACAATATTTTCAAACCTGTTGGCTGACTGCCAAGTTAATCGTTTTCATGACAGAGCAGGTGACCGCTCGCCTCTTTCAAGGCTGCTACAACACACATGCAATAGAAATGAGCCCATTCGTTCACAGAACACTCAAGGACAAGCCGACCACAGCACTACTGAGAGCAGAGTTAATCAGGAGTCTGTCCAGTAAGGTCACATAAACTGATGAGTTCTGTAATGGCTGACCATTACGCCACTGTGCAGAACCTTCTAGATATGAAGAATTCAAGCCTTTGTCACACTAGATTGAACACAGTAATAAGAGACTGACCACTGGTTAGCAAATAGGCTCTTTCGAAATGCTGAGACGACTCCAAGTGCACACAACTGTAGGACTTCTGCAGGGATGGATTTTTCCAGGCCAGCAGAAATGTCCAGACTATGGAATGCATATTTTCTGCTTTCTTCACCAGCGGCACAACGTCCTTTTCAGACTGCAAGATTTGAAATACTTTCCTGCCAAAAAATTGTTTTTAATGAGGACCTTTTTGACTGAGATGTAATAAGCTATATGTATAATTATATTTAATCATCTCTAACTTTACATTTACAAGGTGGACCAACAAGGTAGGAGTGTCTACCAGAGTGGACAGTGAGTGGACACTGTGTTTAAAAACTCCAGCAGCACTGCTGTGTCTGATCCACTCGTACCAGCTCAACACACACAACACACCACCACCATGTCAGTGTTACTGCAGTGCTGAGAGTGATCCACCATCCAAATAATACCTGCTGATATTTATGGTATATATTTAGGATAATTATGTACAGAAGTGGACAATGAGTGCAGATACAAGGTGATATATGAAGCGGCCTCTCCACTAGAGTACTTGTTTATTTGCTATACAGCAACATTGTTCTGTACCTCATTTAATAAGGTTTCAGTGTCTTGAATTCATTTGAAACCTCTTTGAAATATGAAACACAATGAGGAATCTTTCAAATCCAGTCCAGTTTCTCAGGTTGTAATTTTGTGATGCCACTGCCAGTGAAATGCTTTCCAATCTGATCTCTGTGCTGTAAATTTAACATTGATGAACAAACATGTCATCATTTCAAAAATCATGAGTCCTTTATGTTTAGATGCTGGTGAGCACATTTTTTCTAGTAGCAGTAGGTCAAGGTGTTTGGATGTACATTTGTTGTCTAGAGTATTATATCGGTATAGTGCAGAAGTTGGCAACATGTGGCTCCAAAGCCGCATACAGCTCTTTTACTGCCCTGTTGCGGCTCCACAGCAGAATTAGATTCTTAGATAAAAATAAAATAATCCTCCTTTGCAGTAAAATAAAGCTCTGCCTATGGTTTTAACACAGTGTTATCAATAAATGGTCTTAAAAACTGAAATTAACTACTAATTCATTGATCTTTAACCCTGAACGTTGGCGCACAGACTGCTGGTCACTATAGCAACACAGACAATCTGGCCTAGCTAGTAGCTAACGAAACAGCAAAGAGAAAGATTTAAGATGAACATCGAGAATTAAGAGACAATTTGACACACTTATTTGCATTAATAATCACTTCAGCTGGTTTCCTGATACGTTTAATGTGCAGCAAGAAACTGTCAAACACTAAAAAGTCTTCTTCTCGCATCTCCGGCAGGAGACTTTCCACAAAATTAGAATAGTTCTTTGTAAAATGTTTCTCAACGTTCGACTTTTTACGAGGCTGAAGTCAATCCTGTTTGAATTCTCCTGTTCCACCTTAAATGGTGCAGCAGTTACACTCTGGCACCTCAGGCACCATTTAAGGTGGAATAGGAAATTTCGAACAAGAAGCTGGCGAATGACAAGCTGAGTTCAGCCTCGTAAAAAGCTGAACTACTTTTCTGTCCTTCCTTCTTTTTTCTTAATTTTTGTCTTCCCACGGCTTTTCACTGATACAGTTTTGCAGTTGTTTGCCTTTTTAACTGTTGCTACAGTTTTACTGAACTGTAGCTCTACTTCTTTTCTTAGAATTCTCAGCTCTGTTTTTTGGATTACTTTGATGTAGCATGTCCACTATGTCAGCTAAACAAGTGCTGGGTGTTGGTCATTAATATGCATTAGCACATAAACATGTCAATTTTAACTGTAGCTGAGACACATTAAAAAAAATACTACAGCTATGGGGGAGGCCAGCGCTGACCAGCACCATGCTGGCTTGATGAATACGGCTTAATGTCAGTGGCAAACATTTTGTGTAGTGTAGCAGGGTTAGGTTTCATCAATGTGGCTCAATGTGCTTATGATGCACTGAGGCCCTAAAGGGACGCTGTTTCGTTCCACTTAGTACTTACATGTAGTTGGAATGACAGCAAAGTTCTTCCTGCAGACTCACTGAAAACTTAGCAAAGCATGTAAAAGTACTTATTTAGTATTTTAGTAGGATAGCATTTTGTTGCCTATCTCTTCTTTTGGATGACAGCATGAATTATTCTAAGCATGGAGTGTGCACAACCGATGCTCGCCAGGCTTGTTGGATGTTCTCTTTTGAAAGGCCAGAGTGAGGCAGGTTTGGATCACATCCTCTCCAAGACTTCAGGACGTTTTTCACATTTGATTATGGAATTTTCAATGTACATAATCTTTATCACAGACATTTTATTACGAAGAGACAATATTTTTTGACGGATTAATTCAAGTTTTTTACAGCAATATCTTTCAGAATGTTAATGAGTTTTTGATGCAGGTGTGTTGGATGGGTTGTTCAACTGAACCCAAAATATTGATTGATAAGTTATAATACAGCGCAAACTATGTACTTTTGAATAAAGTAAAGTACAAATTGCACAATACTTTAATAAATTAAATAATGGGAAAAAAAATAATAAGTGATGGAAGAGGTGTCCCAGTACTATTTCTGAGCACTCTATAGCTTTCGCTTAGTGATGATTCTCAATGACAAAAGCAGTTGTTAGAGTGAAACATCTTCAGTATTATACCACAAACTTACTTGCTTTGCAAACTAAACAGATCAATGACTTGGATGACTGTAAAACTTACTGACATTTGCTGTAATGGTTAAGATAACTTCAACAGTGCAGTGCTTTTGTGCCCCCCAGGAACAACTAAAAGTTTGACTTTTTACTCTTATAGCACCACTGGGTATCTTAGCATCTTTAACAGTGTTCAACAGTGTCTAGCAGTTAAATGTGGTGTGAAGGTACTAATTGGAAGCTAAGACTCATGGTAAGCTTTGTAAAAGATCAAGAGGACAGTGTGTCTCTGTGAGATCCAACATGTTTGGCATAAATATACCAACATTAATAGTTTAAAATTAATATTTTAGTATCCAGCGACTTACCTGCCACCCACACCATGATAAGGATCTCAGTCCATGTGAAGCGAGTGGTCTTCACCCTGAAGATCTGGAGCGGGTGGTCAGTTACCGTGACATTTGGCAGAGTGGTGATTCCCTCAAAGCGGTCAGACGCATTGAAAACAAGCAGACAGAGGAAGATGATGAAGGACGCAGCATGAGCCACAAACTTCATGAAGGGACTCCGCAGCACTTTCCCCAGCTGCAAACGCCAAACACACAGCAGTCAGATACAGTACCGCTGCCGGACAGCAGGGTCTTCCACATAAAAACGCATAATATCATAACAGAAATGAAAAATCTTTGCATTTTCTCAGTGTACAAGAATATTTTACACTGCCTGGTTTAAAAAAGTTGAAGGGGAATTCTCCCACTTTAATAAAATGTCTGCGTAATTTAATGGTTAGGATTTACCAAAGTCATTCAGAGTGATTTGATTTGAAACTCTTGTTTCTAGAGAAGATTACAGAGTCAGATCCGTTCACAGTGGTGGTGACAGGAACCGACGTCTGAAGTGTTTAGACATTAGCAGTATTTCACAAAGCAGGATTCCTTAGTAAACTGGATCCAAAGTTGAGCACTGTCCAATAACTCCTCCTTTTGGACAGGCTTGTTTTTTTTGGCCTAAGGTATCTGCTTTGTGAAATACCTCCATTGTTTTGAGGTAAACTTATCTATCTTTCAAAAGCTATTCATACCAAAGTGGTACATGCAGGTCATTCCAAGGAAAATATAATATCCAAAGAAAACAGACTTGCCACTATTTTACCATCATCACTACATATAAAAAAGACATGTGTAGGTTTACTGGTTGTTTTGGATAGTAAATAAAACGAATACATTTGCGTTGTAGACAGCATGACCCCTGGTTTCCAGACCACAACTGTAAAGAGCCGGTAAGTTTTTCTACAATGAATCGTTTCACATCAAACTCTGAATAACTGTTTACATCTCAGTGGTGGAATTTAACAGAAATTGTGGTAGTATCACCCTTTAAAATGGGGCATGATGGCTTGACATGAACGTAGAAAGCTACCAGTCAGTGCCAGTGTTTTTTAAAAAGGCATTCTCACATTTCACACTAAGTTAACACATTCTCTACAGGGAATAAACTTCACTCTGGCATTTTTCTGCAAATTATAGTGCACAAATTGAGCATAGCGTTACTTCAGGCAAGCCACAAAGTCAAGCTCAGGCCCCAATCTCAAATCACCAGCTGTTATCAGCTGATCTTAATCAGCTGACAGCTCAGCTTAATGTCTGCTATGCAGACGATCGGCTAAATTTGTCAGGGCGTTCATTTAGGCTGCTTTAGCCTGCCCATTCTTGCTGCTCCTCTTCAAGCCGCTTTTCAATCTCTTGCTGGCCAGTGGTTTGCCTGGCACGGTGGTTTTGGTGTCTTTCTGCTGCTCTCCCTGCCTTTGGCTTTCCATGCGTGCACATGGAAGAGCTGGGAGGTCCCAGAACAGAGCCATACTGCCAAATATAATTACTGCAAATGACTATTACTTAAGTAATAATACCCTACAAGCAGGGCTTAAGTCTTGGTACACTACTTCAGCTGCCTGCTGCCTCAGGGAGTTGTAGTAATATGGCTGCGCCCAGTAGTTTGTGTTGAACACAGGACACAAAACAGACTTGCCACTATTTTACCATTATCATCATTACATATAAAGCAGGATAGCAATGCCTTAACGATGCTAAAGAAAGTAAGTAACTGTTTTATTTTGTTTGGTTGTAAAATTGGTACGTTTTGTAGGTTGTTTGTGCCTCCAGTAACATGTAAGGTGAAGTTGTCTGCCTGGAGTCGGTTTTAAACAGAGAATGTATCTGTAGTTTGGTGGGACAGCACATGCGCAAGTTGGTGTTTTACTATCCAGAGGTTCACTCTGGTAGCATCTTGCTGGCCATGATGTTTAGTGTGGTGTGTTTGGCATCCAGTGATGCAAGCTTGTCTTCATTGTTTACAAGAACGAGCTTATGTCACTGTTTTACTGCTCTAACAAATCCTTTAATACTACATCTGAAGTCAAAGTTGTTGATGGACTGATTTGCATAAGTGTTGTTGCCCAGTTAGTTCTGTGAATCTGTAAGCTTAAATTTGCTGTTCAGTAAATTAAAGCTATGCGAATTTATTGAGTTTGTCAGGGTGCCTATTTAAGCTGCTGTAGCCTGTGCTCATTCTCACCGCTTCCTCTACAAGCCTCTTCGCAACCTCCTGCTGGCCTGAGATTTTCCCTGGTATGTTTTTTTCTTGTCTTTCTGCTGCTCTCCCTGCCTTAAGCTTTCCATGTATACATATGGAAAGGTAGGGAGGTCCCAGAACAGAGCCATACTGCCAAATATAACCTACTGCAAATGGAAACAAAATATTTTCTTCGACAAAAGTGGTCCTGACAGAATTTCTATTTATTTGCTGAATTTAACATGTTAGGAAATTCGGCAAATAAACAGTAACTGTGCATTAAAATGTGCAGAAGTGTGTCCTCTGTACAGGATGTGTTCACTTATTTTCACTTAGAAGATCAACAAAACATTACATTTCAGCGAGGCACTCAAAATTCTACATACAACGGTATGTTGTATTGGATCACACTGTATTATTCTTGCCTTTTGTTTCTTACGCGTATTAACTGGTATGTGTTTCAACATAATACTCCTGAGCACAAGGCAGCGTCAATGAATCCCTTTCTTTCAGCTACAATCTACGCTCCACTGAGTTTGAGGCAAAATAGGAACGTTTATTAACATTCCTCTGATATGCCATCTCTGCAGTTTTATCTCTCTGTAACAGAATTGCCAGAGGAGCTGGTATGGACCATCTGCTGCTATTCCGCATCCTCTCCTCCTTTCTTATCTGTACAAGGGGAAAATAGCTCACCTGGTATTCTGAGAACAGTTCAATCTCACGTTAGCCTCTGTGCACACCGCGGTGGAACACCAAAGGTCAAGAGGTTTGTAGATACCTGTTCATTCAAATTTTCTAATTTTCTAATTTTTTAATGGTATTAATACGAAGTTTGTCCTCCCTTTTTGCTGCAGTTCAGCCTCTACTTTTCTGAAAAGGCTTTCCACTAGATGTTTGAACATTGCTGTGATTTGATTACATTCAGCCACAGGAGCATTAGTCAGGTCAGGTACTGATGTTGGATGAGCAGTTCTGGGTCATTCCACCTTATCCCAAAGGCAGTGGATGGAGCTCCATCACTCCAGAGAACAGTTTCACTGCTCTACAGTCCAGTGCTGGGGGGGATTTTTATCTCTAGCCAATGCTTGGTTAGGCTCATGTGCTGCAGCTCCAGAGTATCTCATTCTATTGACAATGCTTTTACATGGCGACTATAATTCTGTGTCAGCAATGGTTGCACCTTAAGGGTGTCTAGATGCTTTTAGACACACAGTGAATAACAGTGAAGCACCAAAATGGAAATTTTCAACCGAGATTGAAAGAAAGTGTTCGTTTATATACAATTTTCTGTGTTATTTATGCTTTTAAATTAACACATTACAATGCTGACGATGCTTTAAACGCAATAATTGCCATATAGGGAAAAGGAACTAAGACAAGTAGAAGACTAATTTAGGTTTAAATAGCTAGAAAAATAATATTTAAAGTTGTAAAATAACAAAAAAGTAATACTTCGTGATTTCTCAAAGGCATCTAAAGCTGAATTCCAGAGTGCCTCTGCTGTGACGACAGAGAACACCTATACTTTTAAAATATATGAACATGGCTTTGGAACTCTTGTCTAGCAGTCTGGCGATTCTCCAGCAGGGGCCGCTAGCAAGCTTTAACAAACTGCTTTCAACATTTAATGTAGGTTCAAGACTGCACTGAACGCAGCTGCAGCGGACTGCGTTTGTATTTAAATGCATCTGTGCTGAAAAGTGAAGGAGAGCAAAGAAATCCGTGTTTTTACCATTGAAATAACTTGTTAAGTGCTACATTTTGACCTATTTAAATGTAAAAATTCTCTTTTGGCTGAAAATTGAAAGCACCAATGTTTACCATTTCCTGCTATTTTTTCAGGGGCCAAAATTTCTATGCATTCTTAGTGAAAAATATTGTCTGCATAAAAGGTAAATGACAAATACTGACTGGGAGAACTAAGGTGTGCATGTATAACGGGCCTGAATAACACACACACACAATTATAAATCACAGTTCTGGGCTTCTTGGAGTCGCACAGCAGAGCTATTTATTCTGAACGACTGATCGTTCATAAAATCGATTTGGAGAAGCTGTTGTGGTCAGCAGGAAGAAAGATGAAGTAGGCACACTGTGACCCTCAGGTGGGAAAAACATGGCCATTTCCACGTAGACTAAATTAGCTGCTGGACTTTAGTTTCCATTTGTGACACATTATCAATCAGGATTTTATAGGGCCTGAGCACAGATGGAGAATCACTGTTTTGTTTGCTGTTTGTTCTGTGGCTTCTACTGTAAGTGTGGGCTATAGCTCTACAGACTTGACAGGTTAATGCTATATGGAAACAGCTGTAAATTGCAGTCACAAAAAAGGCGCAAAGAACAGTCTGAGTGCCTCTTGGCAGAGGAGGATGATCGTATTAATGTCAGTATTATCTACAGTGCTGCTCAGAAGGTTTAAAAGAGACATAATGTCATTTGAACATCATTTTATTATTTCCTGATGCAGAGGAGACTAGAGACTACAGTAAGCCTCCATAACATGCTACATAAAATTAAATGGGGAATTGATTTTTTTTCAAATTTCTGCATAATTCAATCAATGAGATGCAAACAAAGTTAGTTAAAGTGGTGTGAGGTGAAATCGTGCATTGTAGAGAAACTAATTCACATTTCTTTACAGTGGTGGTGATAGGAACCAGGGGTCACAATGTCTATAACACAAATATTGCCATTTTCTTTACTATCAAAAACTACCAGTGAAACTTCACATATCTGAGATTTTAGATCTGAGGCACCTTGCTCGTGTTAACTAATTTTTAAGGTTAAAATTAGATTAAGTGACCCTTATTAGTCCCACAGTAGAGAAATTTCACCTCCGCATTTTATCCATCTGTGCAGTGAAACAGCACATACACACTATTGAGCACACACGCTAGGGGGCAGTGAGCAGACTTGCCCGGAGCAGTGGGCAGCCCTATCCACGGCGCCTGGGGAGCAGTTGGGGGTTAGGTGTCTTGCTCAAAGGGCACTTCAGTCACACAGTGTCGGCTCAGGGGATGGAACTGGCAACCTTCCGGTCACAGGGCTGGTTCCCTAACCTCCAGCCTATCACTGCTAATAAACTCACTCACACACTCACTCGTGTTTAGCATGCTAAAGATGCTCCACAAGGGGGCGTTATTCAGTGGCATTTCTGAGAGGAGCAGCTGGGGTGGTGGCAGGTGTTCATGTGCTTCCAAATCTTAAATCTACATAATGGTCCTCTCTAAAATGCTTACAGTATCACTGCTATGCACTATTTGAAAAACTCATCCTTCCTGTATAAGCAAGATGAAATTTATCTTGAAAGTTTTTTTGCAATAGTTTAGGAATCTGAACAGTTTCAAGGAATTTTTCAGTAGTATTGGAATTAGCAAATAATGAATGATACCCAATTTTATTCAGCAATAGTCCCATTTCAGCTATAGATTCAACTTGTAACTTTAACCACTAACATTTTCAGTTAGTTAGCTAGCTAGATAACTCGTTATTTGGCTGGAAACACCTACAAAATATCAGGTACATACACTGTACCTGGAGCTTCACCAAATGGGTTTCCTGAGTGGCTGAGTAGCTGCACACAAGCCTAAGACTGGTGTCCAACAAGCTCATCTAGGTGTGATGGTCAGATGTCCATTTACTTTTAGCCATATAGTGTACCCCTGTTAAATTACATTTTAACTTATTTTAAATTCAATATTTTAATTATTTTAATGTATCACTCACTTGTAACTCCCCCTCTAAAACTGATCTGGACAGGCCACTAGTGCTACTAGAGCTATCAGTAGTTTCTGGTGCTTCATAACAGTGCAGCTTTGCATCAATGACACTGTATGTCCTTCATATATATTATGTTGATTAAGGTAAAATGGTGGGGATCTGATAAAATAAGATTTTGGGCTCTATTTTGCCTTACAAAACCCTGCATGTACCTTTCTACCATGAATGGCTTTTAAAAATACATTAAAATATATAAACCCTATCACAAAACTATCATAAAATATTAATCATTTAACGTAAGATGTTTCTGTGAAGTTCTTTATCTTGACAAATGCGTCTTACCTTACTGCATGGAGCAAACCAATAGCCCACAGCTAGGAGAGGGAGTCCCAGAGCTACCACCAGCACCACCAGACACTTCACAGCGATGGGCTGCTCCCGCAGGCCTGACAGGTTCTCATACCAGATCGTCAACAGCTGCTGCTGGCAGTTAGGATGAGCCACGAACTGCAGAGATAAGAAGAGCGTATGTGTATGTGAGAGAGAGAAGAGTCAGTCTTACAGAGAATACCAGAACAGCTGCACTTGGGGACCACCATTATATTACTGTAGTGGTAATCTGCAACGACATATCACCAACAGAATGACATTAGCACAAACAGAAGTGATTTTATTAACCAATATATTGTCAGATTATTACTATGTGTATTGCAGCACATTAACGTGAATAACACCTTCAAGTGAATTTTGATCATTATGATACTATTTGATCATTTTGATATAATGAATTTTGACATAATGACGAAAAAAAAGCTGAAACATTATAAACAGTTTATGGAAATTTAAAATTGCATTATGCTCCAAAATGAGCCAAATCAGTCAATTTTTAATCTAATTTTTACTGTGTACTTTTAGTATTCTGTCCAATCACAGACATTCCTTGACGAGTGTTTCTAAGTTCAACTGAGACAAGGTTCCTGACTAAATTTCAGTATAAGCCTTGGGAGGTGCTATAATTTGATTACTGACAATGTGATTTTGATCCAGTTTGAATCTGCACTGACTGTCGATTTTACAAGTCTGCTAAGTAAAAATCCTGAAACGAATGAACTACTACAATTTCCTGAACTCAGAGCTTCCTTAGTAATACCAGTTCTGTAAAAATCGACATCATAATAATGTAGTTACAAAACTCATTTTTTTACGACCTGAAGACAAGGCCAACAGCTAAAATGGAGCTTGATTTGACCAAATTCCTTAACCCCTTAAATCCCAGGCTTATTATATACTAGGGCTTATTATTCAGCAACAACAGGGACTTCAATGCAAACTGGCTGACCTATTCTTGGATTATAGAAGTGATAAAACTTTGGGCCCGCTGGCAGGCCCTGGCCATTTTAGGTGCTTGATCCACAACTTCATGACAAAACCGCAGAAATTTGGTGTATATTCCCTCCTGTACTCTATGATTATGCATCATAATTTTGAATTGCTGCTGATGACAAGCATCACCCCACACTGAAATTAGATGTAAAGTCTCCTCCCTCGTCCAGTGTTTTTTTTTTGGCACCATATTTGCCATTTGGCTGCATAACGTGTTGTATGGAACCTGTTGCATTATGCTGTCATAAAAATGACTGTGCAATTATATTTCAAACTGGGCTGTTCGGGGAAATTAGACAGATCTTTTTCCTGTACGAATCAGCCAGTCAAATCACATACATATTACTGGGCCTCCTCCAGTAAAACTAATCCAGGCCAAATAGGGCTTTAGTTTGAAACTAACAAATGCAACTGCTGCAAATTCGTTTTACAACGGCAGTGGAGCGTGTGAGGCATGCAGCACTACATGCCATCGTTATTTAGCCTGGCAAAAGGTGAATCACCATTGTGAAACAGAAAATCCCAGGTTAGATCAAACTAAGACTGCAAGATAAATCATATTTTGTTTTGTTATTGAAATGTTTTTCATTAATAAACACACTGCTGAGGGCTGTGATGACGGAATAGATCTAATTACCTTTGGCAATGCCAAAGTGACATAATTAGATATGCAGAAATTAGCGTTAGAAGCCCAACAAGTGCTTTCTTGTGTTACAGTTCAGTGTGGAGAAGTGTGGAGAGGCAGAGGCAGCAAGATTATTAATATATAAATGAATCAAGACTGGACTGAGGAATGAACCTTGTGGGACCCCTTTAGTGCCAGGCATTAAATCAGATTTGTAGTTACCCAGTTACGTATTATTGCTTATCTGGGAGGTAGTTTTGGTCCCAGTTTATTGCATTTTTATCGTAACCAACTGTTTGTAAGCTCTTTAAAAGAAGCAAGTGGTCAACAGTATTAAAAGCTTTGGTCAGATCAATAAAAAGGGCAGCACAGGGCTTCTTTCTGTCTATGGCCATTAAAAGATCATTAAAAAAGTGTGTGTGTAGCAGAAGCAGTGCTATATTTTTTTCTAAAGCCAGATTGATGGTTAAAAAGCAACAGAAGTTTCATAAAGAAATCTTTTGAGTTGGGTATTTACCAAAGATTCTAGCTAGGCATGACCATTTTGAAATATGTCTATAATTATTCAGATCTAATGCCTCGCCTCCTTTGTGTAGGGGAACAACATGAACTGTTTTCCAGATACTGGGAATTTTACATGGTAAAATGGAAAGAATAAATATGTATGTAATGTGTTCTACAATGACCGGAGCAGCAAGATGCAGGAAATAGGGGTCCAGTCCATCCACCTTTTGTTTCTTTTTAGCAGCAGTGAGAGCATTAGCCACTAAATATGGACAGAAGGGATGGAGTGTGAAGGGACCAAGGCCATGGCTAGCGACAGAGGTTATATCTGGTTCATCCAGCTGCAGTCCCAGATCAGTGCTGTCAAATATATGACCGGCTGCATAAAAAATGTGCATTAAAAGCTTGGCAGAGCTCTTTTGGTCAGCTAGATCTCACTGCATCTGAAGTGTCCACATATCTTTTCATGGTTTTCATGGTCATTCTAGTCTATTTTGATTAGTCTGCAGGGTTGTAGCTGCAGAAACGGTGACAAGATGAGCTCTATCAGCTAGCCTACAGAGTTACAGCTTGCCTACCAATATGGCGACAGGGTGTTATTAATGATGTAATTGAATAGTATGTATAGCTGATCCTATTCCTACGACTAGTAATTACTGTAATATTTGAGCAAAGATTGCTGGTAGTCAGAAGTCATTTAGAGTTCGGAACAGAATAAAATACATAGTGGTCTAAAATCTGTGAACCAAGCATGCTGGGGTGAACCTTATCTTAGGTGTAGAAGGACAGGTGGATCCAGAAGAGGTTAAAATTGTCAATAAAAGTCAAACTAGTGGAGAGGCAGGTTTTTGGAAGCCAACTATGAACATTTAAAATACAGCTTAAAGGTCCTGCACCTCTACCCAGGCGTGGAACTGGACCAGAAATAAAAACGCCACAGTCTTTTGTGGTAGACAATAGTTATGTGAAGTCCCTTTTCAACAGCTCTGTGCTCTGAACTGTAATATCATTACAGCCCACATGTATAACTATATTCTGCCCAAAGTGGTACCTCTCTAAAATGCTGGGGAGCAGTTGTGCGATGTCCGAGACTTTGGCACCACAGACCGAACGGACGACAGATGAGTGAAGCTTTTTGTTTCTGATAATAGAATCACCCACCATTAAAGTGGTTGAAGGGGAGGCGAGGGATAAATGAGCGGCCCACTGCTTGGTGTCTTGTGGCGGTGGATAATGGGTCTATATATACAGCACTTTAGTAGGGACACTATACTATTACCAGCTAGGGCCTCCCTTTGCTCTCGAAACATCCTCAATTTTTTGTGGCATGGATTCCACAAGACATCGGAAACATTCCTTTGAGAACCTGGACCATGTTGACATGATTGCAAAATGTAATTCCTGCAGATTTTTGAGGTCAGAGTTTTCTGGTGCAAATCTCCTGTACCACCACATCTCAAAGGTGTTCTAATGGATTCAGATCTGGTCACCGTGAAGGCCAATGAAGAACACAATGAACACAATGAAGGTCACTGTCAAGTTCATGAAACCAGTTTTAGACGACTTTTGCTTTGTGACGTGGTGCACTATAATGCCGGAAGTAGGCATTAAAAATGTGCCAAGAAAACATTCTCCACACTATTACACCACCTCCACTAGCCTGGACTATTGACACAACGCAAACTGGGTCCAATGCTGTTGGCACCAAATTCTGACCCTACCATCTATGTGCCTCAGCAGAAATGGAGATTCATCAGACCAGGCTATGTATTTTCAGTCTTCACCTGTCCAGTTTGGTGAGCCTGTGCCCACTGTAGCCTCAATTTTCTGTTCTTGGCTGACAGAAGTGGAACCCAAGATATTTTCTGCTGTTGTAGCCGTCCACCTCAAGGTTCGACAAGCTCAAACAAGTCTGACCATTCTTCGTTGACCTCTCTGATTAACAAGGTGTTTCCGTCTGCAGAACAGCTGCTCACTGGATGTTTTTTTTATTGCACCATTCTGAGTAAACTCGAGATCGTGTGTGAAAATCCCAGGAGATCAGCCGTTATAGAATTAATCAGACCAGCCTGTCTGGCACCAACAATCACACCACAATCAAAATCACTTCTGTCTGCTTGTCTTTCTGGCTAGCTAGTCATCCCTGCACAATTTTCTGATTTTCCTCCTCAAGCTCACCTGATTTGAGTCATCAGTTAATTACCAGATTTGGCTGGTGTGCTAGAGCAGGGAAATCACCAAACTGTGCTGGACTCTAATTTCCCACCCCTGATATATTGCAAGTCACACAGCAATGCAATATGATATTTTATTCATATTGTGTAGCCTTGGTTCAAATCAATGAAAGACCAACATTAAAAACATTAGAAACAGTATCATGTTTTTTATGTATTTTATGGATTGTTATGTTGTCAAAACAAGGCTGAATCTGTCAACAGCCACAGAGTTTCCATCAAATTAGAGCACCAGTCTTGGCCCTGGTTCTGCACTCAGCAGGAGCCTGTCACGTTCTGTCTGCTGATGAAATCTTGCTGAGTTTACACACTCGAAAACACGCTTACAATAGAAAAGGTGAAGAGTCTAGAAGCGTGTGCATTCAACGTGTCTTTGGCTTGGTCAGCAGGCGGCGGCTGAAAGTATGTCTGGTCATTTGCATGTTAAGTGGGTACGTCAGAGAAAAAGAGTACGGTAGGACTAATCCCATTAACAGCGCTGATCTGATTCTAAGGAGATGGATTAGACTGTGGCTCTGGGGACCGGAGAAGACGGTAATGTGGTTGTGGAGAGTTCTCAGTATCTGCACTTGCAAGCTCAGAGAGTGCTTGACCCACTGCTGGTCAATGTCCTGAAGAGTGCTTGGTGTGGAGACTGACAAATGGCTCATCCGATAAACAAGTTTATTCACTCATGGTAAGAGACCAGTACAGAGCTCTGGAGTGCAGTAATGCATGTGATAAGCCAGTATTAACTGCAGAGTCAGAGAAAATAAATATAA